TGCAGCCCCTGTGCAAACTGTTTACTCTTCTCTTCTACTTTTTCTGGAAGTTGTTTAATATTTGTATATCTTATATTTACCCTTTGCATTATCCTGTTTTGGGGGAGAATTCCTTACATTTCTGCTTCTTGGATAGATCTGTTTCTGGTTATTTCCCAGTGATCCTTTTTAGCTTGCAGAACCCAAAGCGAGTTTTATGAGCTTTTAGCTGCTGCCGTTTCCTGTTCTCTGGGTGATGTAAGGAATTCTGAGTAGAATATAAGGAGGAGAGATGTGGCCCCATGCAGCAATCTCTCTCTCTCCCTAAAATGTGCAGGCAATTCTGCAGCTGAAAGATCTCCATGGCTAACAGTCAGCATTTCAGCAAAACACACTCTTACGCTGCTTTATGCTGCCTGGCTAAAACAATAAATGTAGTCCAGGCACCCAGGATCACTTATGCAGCAGTTTTAAGGGAAAAACGGGCAACATTTTGATCTCAACTGAGATCTTTTTCAAGCTAGAAATGTTGCCCTGTTTTTCCTGATTTTCCTGCTGCTGTAATCCTGAGTGCCTTGACTACATTTTATTGTTTTTCCATTGGAGTGGGGTCGGCCAGCCCCATTATCCAGATGCACCAGGACCAGATAAGCGTGCAGATTCCTTATTTTGTTTGTTCATTATGCTGCCTGGCTGACATTTTTCAGTAGTTGCTGTTAAAAAAAAAAAAAAAAAAAAAATTGGAGTTAAAATGCAAAAAATATGTTGATATATTTCTATCTATCGCAATGTACCTTGTTTTGGGATAAATCCCAAGAATTAATCTTCTGCTGTGGTGTTTGCTGGGACCAGGAATTGCCTTAAATCTCAGAAAGTCCTAGTTTTTTTTATTTATTATTCTTTATTTCTGCATAAACAGAGATGCGGTTAGACGACAGTAAAGGATTTCGCAGAAGCCAAATGACATTGCATGTTTCGTTGATGTCGTTGATGCTGATGTTCCAGGAGGGATAAGCCAAATGGCAAATGATTTAGGTAAACTAGAAAAATGGTCAGAGTTGTGGCAGATGACATTTAATGTGGATAAGTGCAATATAATGGGCATAGTACAGAATATTTGAACATCTGAGGAAAGGGATTTAGGGGTAATTATTTCTGATGACTTAAAGGGACTCTATAGTCACCCAGACCACTTCAGCTCAATGAAGTGGTCTGGGTGCCAGGTCCCTTAGGTTTTAACCCTTCAGATGTAAACATAGCAGTTTCAGAGAAAGCAGGGTTAATCCAACCTCTAGTGGCTGTCTTCCCTGACAGCCGCTAGAGGCACATCTGCGACGCTGGATGCGAAATTCACATCCAGCATGCAGAATGTCCATATGAATACATTGAGAAATGCTTTCCTATGGACTGTTTGAATGCGTGTGGCACTTGCCTCGCATGCGAATTCCGCTCCTGTCGGCGGGGAAGGAGAGGTCACCAGCGCCGAGGGAGCCTGGCGCTGGATTAAAGCGCCAAGGGAGGGGGGACCCTGAGGGCACTATAGTGTCAGGAAAACGGGTTTGTTTTCCTGACACTATAATGATTACTAACCCTTTTGCAAAAGCGAAGTAACATAGATATAAAACTTAACTTTTATTAGAGGTCTCCTAAAATAAAGAAATGTGGAAAAAAAACATCCCTATAATTGGGACTAGATATAGTAAAGATCCCTGATTTGAAATAATGTCCTTTATAGAATTGGTAATAAATACAAAAAAATAAATAAATAAATGAATAGTTATACACATAAAGCTGCCAAGTGTATCAGTAGAGCTAATACGTATCAAGAGTGCTGAAAAGAGTAACCATATATACAAACAGAAATAATATCCACACAAGTGATAACAAAATATTATATTACTTATATGATGACTTAAAGCAGTGATGGCGAACCTGTGGCACGCCGGGCCCTCTTTGTGGGCATGCGGCCATAGGTTCGCAATCAATGCAGAGTAGGCACCTGCCTGCCCGAAACGGCAGGCGCCTACTCTGCTTCCGGGTCGGGAGGCAGGGGAGGGATCTGTGAAACAGCTCCCCTGTCCTCCCGCAAACAATCTGTGTGGAGCGTTGCCGCGCGTTACCATGGCAATGCTCCACACAGCATCGGACAGGAGCTGCCCCCTATAATACTTACCACCACCGGACCACCAGGGATGCTGTGTCCCCCCTCCTTCATTAAAGGTAAGAAGAAGGGAGGGGGGGATACAACTTTAGCATACTTTTTTTTTTTTACCACCTTTACCACCCCTACACCCCACACAGCACCTCTGCCCCCCCACACACAGCATCACTCCCACACACAGCACCCTTACCCCCCCACACAAAGCACCTCTACCCCCCACACACACACAGCACCCCTATCCACACAGCATCCCCCCCACACACACAGCACCCCTATCCTCACAGCATTCCCCCCACACACACAGCACCGCTAACCACACACAGCATCGCCCCCACACAAAGCACCCCTACCCACATACACACATCACCTCTACCCCACAACACACACAGCACCCTTACCCCGCCAACATACACACACACACACAGCACCCCTACTCCCAACACACACATAGCACCCATACCGCCCCCCCACACACAGCACCCCTACCCCTACACAGCACAACACCCCTTACCCCCACAACACACACACACAGCACCCCTACCCCAACACACAGCACCCCTACCCCCCACACACAGCACAGTGGATGGTGTGGTAGGGGTGGTGGGTGGATGGGGGAGGATAGATGGTGTGGTGGGGGTGGGTGGTGTGGTGTGAGGGGGTGGGTGGATGATGTGGTAGGGGGGGGTGAGAGAAAACCTACCTTTTCTTCCCTGGTGGTCCAGTGTGCTCCCTGGTGGTCCAGTGGCCATTGCTTTCAGTCTGCAGCTCGCGAGACCATCAGAGCGTTGCCGTGGTAACCCTTGGCAACGCTATGATTGGTCAGTTCTCGCGAGACACATGGTCTGCAGCTCTGCTCACTGCGGAGCTGCAGACCAATGTCTGGGGTGGCTGGCTGGGCAGCCAGGATGGGCCTCGCACCCGGCGGCATACCGGGCAAGCCGCCGGGCCCCTTCCTGGTGTCAGGTCCTCGGTCACTGACCGAGGACCTGACACAGTCTGCCCACAGGTGGTTTAAGCGGCCGCGAGGCCCCAGCCAGTGCGAGGCCTTAGGCGGCCGCCTAATTAGAGAGCCGCCTCTGCTGCCTGATATCAAGTTTGTCCACTTTGTGTGTAGCATTCCTATATCGCATTCAATTCAGACTGCGCTGTCCTCTTCCCAGAGATTGAGAGCCAACTTGCCATGCACTGACCTTGACTCAGCCAATGGCTGCACTCAGCATCTTAATGCAGGTGGGAGAGTGATGGGGTGATCAGGGCTGCCATTGGAACACATAAAGAACCACTGACTGGACCTTCCTTGATGTGTAGATATATAGCCTCCCACACAATTGCATACATTCACAGACACATAAGTACAGTTACATAACCGAGCCCCTGAAGGGATCATTCATGGTAAGTATGGTTTTTTCTTTTTTAAAATTTTATTTATTTTGTTATTTTTTATCAAATTAAACATTTGGGTGATTTTGGTTATATTATTTCCATTTACAGCATTATATATCAGGGGTGTCAACCCAAATTTACCAGAGCCCCTGGTAGAGGTGTCTTTTCATATGGGTGCTGCGGATCTCTACTCACAGATCCATACTCCCAGACACACGCAGGTTTGTACTCCTGACACACTAACAGATTCCTCCATTACTGATACTCACACAAACAAACACTCATGGACACTCTCATACACACAGATCTCGGGGCACTTCTCTCAATGTTGGTCAGAAGGTAAGCAGTTCCATTAAAATACTGTCAGTTTCCAGGTGTCCGATTTCTAATCAGACAATCTGGAAATCGAGTTACCGGCAGTTTCCTTCCTACAGCCCGGGCAACAAGACATTGCCTAGGGGGCAACAAGTGGTCCATGGGCCAGTGGTTTGAGACCCCTGTTCTATATAATGCAGTAAAAGGAGGGACATTTTCCACCAATGGTTTCTCTTTAAGCAGCCATCACCCCTTTCTCTCCACTCACTATCCGGTTGCTCTCCTACGTGTTAGTGATGGGAGAGGGAGGGTTTTAGGTAACAAATCAATGTTTTGCAACAAACATTGGTGATGGGTGAGGACTATTTAATGGTGGTGGGAGAAGGAGGGTGATGTTTAATCATGATGGAATAGGGAGGGTTGATGCCTAATGGTGATGGGAGTGAGATGGGTGCTGATTAATGAATGGGAGAGGAAATGAGCTGTGTTTAGTGGTGATGGGAGAGGAAGAAGGATAACCCCGCTTCCATCACCATTTATCACTACTCCCTTCATCTCCCACCACCATAAGGCATCCATCACCCTCCCTTTCCCATCTCCATTAGACTCAGCCCTCTGTCTCCCATCGAGAGAGAGAGTGAGAGTGAGTGAGAGTGTGTGTGTTTGTGTGTGTTTTTTTTTTGTTTGTTTTTTACTGAGGAAGATACAGAAACTAATCCTGGCAGTGGAAGATGAAGAGGCCTTATGGTGATGGGAGAGGGGAAGTATTGGCTGATAATAATGGGAGGGGGTTGGTACCTTATGGTTATGGTAAAGGGAAGTGGTTTATGCCTAATGGTGATGGGAGAGGGGTTACGCCTAATGGTGGTGTTAGAGGGAGGGGGTGATACCTAGTTAGGTATCATCTCACTTCCTCTCCCATCACCATTAGTTGTTTGCCCCCTCCTTCTCCCATTAACATCAAGCAGCACTCCATCTCTCTCCCATCAACATTGGGCTTTACCCCCCTCCCTCTCGCACAACCATTGCCACCACAACTCGCCCTTTCCCCCTCCATCTCCAATCTGCCAGTGGAGGGGAGAGCTCTGCTCAGAGATAATGCTGCAGGTTTACTAGTGGATTTTTTTAATTTATTTTTTTATATTCTTTATTTTTGCGGTGCGTACGTTTACAGCAGGTGATTGTGAGGTACCCCAAAGGCAATCCTCCAATGCAAATTAGACATTTGAACATAGAGGTACATGAAAGAACTAGCACCAATTTTTAAAATGATAGTTTAAGCAATAAACAATAGAGGTCTTACAGCTTATTCTGTCTCGTAGCTTAACATCACCTCGCTGGTACACAGAGTTTGCTAATTTTGAGCATCCTAGAATAAAATACGAGCTGGATAATACAGGCTAGATCTAGATTCTATACAAAGGTGGATTACATATAATTAGTTTAAGCTCTTCGCTAAAGTGTGTGATTAAACTAGCTGAGTACATGCAATTAATATCTGCGTTGTCATAGGTTAACCGATAAAATAATACAAGGGAGTAATGTAATCAGTCACATGCAAAATAAGGCAAAACAGTAGACAGGTCTGATCAGTAACGTAAGGATACATAGCGAGAATTACCAAGTACTGTCCTGTGACTAGCGTAGCTTAAAAGAAATAATAAAGATTGCCCTGCACAATGCAAACTCGCTGCTCATGGTAAATAACGTAGGCGCTTCCTAAGGCTTTAAACAAATGCGTTCTCGATTTTAATCTAATAACAATAATAATAATAAGGAAGTCATTAATGCCTCTGCCTCAATGCAAGACAAACATTAAACATGCTTAAGTGCACATTTGGCATATACGGTTAGATATAGTGCTAGCTGATGTAGTATGTCAAAAGCGGTAAGATGCGTTTGCATACAAGCATTGGGTAAGCATTGCGTAGTAAGAGACATATAGAGAGTTCCAACTTTGTGCGTCTCGGCTCGGGCCTTGAGGGGTATAACGGGTCAGTCTCTGGAGGGTCAGCCGACACCTAGTCTGGGAGTAGCGGGTACGTGCCTGTGGGTTCCGTTGGCGAGTCTCCCCGGCTGCTCCTCAGTGTCCTGCGCGTGTTTGTGTGCCTCCCAGTGCCGTCCAGATGAGGTACTCCCCTTGCCCTGGGACCTTGTTGGAGCCATGATCACTTTCTCACTGACTTGCCACCATCTTGGGGCTGGGTCCTTCCCCTGTGCGGGGCTGCGTAAGGCTGTGTTTAGTCGCTTGTGTATTCATCTTATTCTTCGCAGGCCTGAGTGATGTTTAGGGGCTGCACCCTTTGTGGCTTGCTTCCCAGGTGGGCTAGCAGCGTTGTTGTAGGTAGGTACCCTGGTAGCTATGCCCAGTTGTGGCCTCTTTGGCTGCATCGCGGTTTTCCTCCGTTTTTGGACTGGAGCTTTAGCTGGTTGTCTGGCTGTTAGTGGTTTGACCCGGGAGTTAACCGGTGACAGTGCCGTTGGCTGTCGCCTGTTCTCCAGGTGTTCCCAGAATTGCTGGCAGAGGTCGTCGAATTTCCTCTGGAAGGCTTCCGCCCAGGCTCTAGCGGATAGTTGATCATTGCGTTTCGTGAGGCCGTCGGCCATCTTGGGCGGGCCTCGTGTCTCCCAGCTTTCGGGTACATGCTCTGTGCTCCGTCGGTGCATAGGGGGTGGAACGAGGGCCCTGACGCAGGCGCTCGGGTCGTCGCAGCAGCGGGATCGGGTGAGCGGTCTCTCCCGCGTCTGCCAGGCTTGTAGGCCCCATATGTTCGTCGGGTGAGTTTTGCTTAGATTGGTGCATGAGTGGTATCGTCTTATGCAGGGTGATGTCCCCTCTCGTATGGTCACCCTCTTCTTCAATTTAGCGCCATTTGGGCATAGAAAATCACTATTAACCTCTGGGTATAGCAGGAGCTGTGAAGGGTTGCTTCTTCCCAGCTCTGCAGTCAGGCCCCGCCCCCCTTACTAGTGGATTTTAAAGGGAGAGGGGTGATTACTGATGGTGGTGGGAGATTACTAATGGCAATTGGAAGGAATATAATCCCTAATAGTGAGTGTAGAGCGAGGCGTGATGCATCAGGTGGTGAGAGAGGGGTGATTCCTAATGATGGTGGAGGTGATGACTAATAATAAAGTGCGAAGGGAGGGGGAGATACCAAGTGGTGATTTCTCATGATGATGATCATATTACAAGGCATCACCCCTTCCCTCTTTACGTAACCATATAGCAGTCTCGAGCACAGAGTCACTGCTGGCATCTTTCAAGCTCAAGGTTTTTGTTTGCTCTCCCTGTTGCCTGCTGGATAGCAAGTGTGCGGGTGGTCCAGGGGGTGTTAGCTGTTGCGCCATGCAAACCTGCAGCCTGTCCTGCGAGCTGTCACCAGTGGCGGAACTGGGGGAGCATCAGGACAAATGCCTCCCCACCCGAAGTCATTGTGTGGTTTGTTGGCTAGGGAAGACCATGACAAGTGCCTCCCTTAAGATGCCAGGGGCATTTATCTGGCCATTAGCACATTCCCTGGCATATTGGGGCCACTTGCCAAGGTCCTCCTAACCCAACAAATCGCACAATGCCATAGATGTCCAGGAGCAGTCATAGAGGATTGGAGGCATCCCAACATGATTACAAGAACAGCACCAACAATCACCAGCTTTACTTCCTTGTTTGTGAGAAGTCCAAGTACTGTAACCCTGCTTCCTGATGCTGAGACAACGAAAGCTCTAGAGGAGAAGGCAATGTACATGTCTCTCTGCCAGGATGTCCAGGATCAGATGTCGCAATGGAAAGTGAATAGGTGACATCAGAAAGCCCTTCTAGGAGCAGATAGAGCCCATCTCAGGTGTAGAATCAGAAGGGGCACATTTTGCAATTGTGACAAGATCTTGACATCCTGAGTTGGTCTCTACAGCTTGTCCGGACTGTCATCAAGCAGGGGGAGGGGAAGCTGGAAAACTGTTATCATTCCTGAGATACAACCTTTTTATTTTTATTTGCATAACTGTAACTCACACTTTTCTAAAGTGTTAGTTTGTGGGGGGGGGTTTCATGAAAATGTTTAAGCCAAACTCCACTGGAAATTTTTTTCTTAATTTCTTTTCCTTTTCCTGTTAATATTGTTTTTTTGAAAATCTAAAATTAAGTTTAAAAAGAGTGAATGAAAAATCTCAGTCCTCTCCATTGCCAAGAGTTTGGGGGGATTTTATTTTTTGCAACAAACATTGTTGAGATGCTGCCCTAAGTTCTGCTATGGATGAGTCTCTATTGCAGTTAGCTGAAGATCGATGAATGAAGCATCGCAGACAGCAGATCAGAGAATTTCATCTGACGGCACAAAGGTAGGTCGTTATATATAATCTCTTATCATCAGTCTGTGAGATTTAAGGTTTCATATTTTATTATCACTTTATTTGGTTTATCTTTTAACGGCTTTTCTTCAGTAAGAAATACATGTTTAATTTTTATTTAATAAAGGCTTACTCCAACCAAAATCCAATCTTTTCACAAAAACACTGCTTTTGGTTGGAGTAACCCTTTATGTGGTTCTCCACCTCTGCCCCAAAATGCCAATCACTCTTACCTTGCCGGATAGGGAGGGAGAGCAAGGAGAACAGACTGAGGGGAGGACAGGGGCAGCATGTAAGGGCACCGTGCTGCCATTGGCTGTCTGGCGCCAGCATGCTGTGTGTATCGGCATCAGACGCCAGTTTTGCACAGCATATATATTAGTGAGCTCAGAACTCTTGTTCCCATCTGGCTAATAAGACGTCTATGATATGACTGTATTTGGAGTTTCTGGCAGCAGAGGGGTCAGTCTCTGTATGTGCAGCGTCTCATAGTGAAATACTGCATGTACAGGCTTCAAGCACTATGACTACTTCAAATCACTGCAGTGGTCATGGTGTCTGGAGTAAACCATTAAAGCATTGATTCTGACTCCATGCTTAGTGTTATATTAAAATATTACTAAAGCGTTATGTTTGTCTGACACCCATCCAGCTCTGTAATGTAAGTCAGGAATGTAGGTAGTCACATTATATTTTTATAAATGAACAGAAGTCTTTAAGATTATTTTTTTACCTCACTGTTATGAGTTTACTTTTCTTACATATGGCAACTTGTTTTGTCTTCTTCATATGTGTCGACCTTTAAGAAACCCTTGACCTCACTGGTAAGACCCCATATTGAATATGCTGTGCAATTTTGGGCACCTGTTCTAAAGAAGGATATTATGGCACTAGAAAAAGTGCAGAGGCGGGCTACAAAACTAATAAAAGGAATGGAACATATCGGCTATGAAGAAAGGTTAACAAATTTAAACCTATTTAGTTTAGAAAAACGTCGCCTGAGAGGGGATATGATAACATTATACAAATATATTCGGGGCCAATACAAACCATTGTGTGGAAATCTATTCACAAACCGGACTTTACATAGGACACGAGGCCATGAGTTTAGACTGGAAGAAAGAAGATTTCGTCTAAGGCAAAGGAAAGGTTTTTTTACTGTAAGAACAATCAGGATGTGGAATTCTCCGCCTGAAGAAGTGGTTTTATCAGAGTCCATACAGATGTTCAAACAGCTACTAGATGCATACTTGCAAAAACAGAATATTCAAGGATATAATCTTTCAATGTAGGGTAATACCTGCTTGATCCAGGGATAAATCTGACTGCCATTCTGGGGTCAAGAAGGAATTTTTTTTTCCTAGCTTGTTGCAAAATTGTGCTTCAAACTGGTTTTTTTTGCCTTCTTTTGGATCAACAGCAAAAACATATGTGAGGAAGGCTGAACTTGATGGACGCAAGTCTCTTTTCAGCTATGTAACTGTGTAACTATGTATTCATGTTCTGTCTGACTATTTAAATTCATGACATTATAATTACGTTTCTTTCAATGTGTTAAACTTCACATTATACACAAGGGTTTGCTTATTCTTATTTCTCTCTTGCAGTTAAATTATGAGCCCCAGCGCCAATCATCGATACTAATCTCATCTGGAATTATTCAACTAATTTGGATTTATTACAGGTTTCGGATTATATTTTGGCTTCCTATCAGCGTCTCTGTTCTTGTACCATCAAATCTGTGCTGTGATTGCAGATTACTTGCGTACAAAATCTGGCGTGATCTAATGATTGCATATTTCTCTTAATTCCTAAATTGGATTTTCTAGTAACGACTTGGCTAAAAGACTTGCTTCTATCTAAGCCCTGGATGTTAACGATTACCTGTTATCAGAGGAGACTTGTTTAAAGACTTTCCTCCTTTTACTCTCAGACTTGATTTCTGGTTATTGGAACTGGATCTGGCTAACTGGATTTTCATTCTCCTCACTTTGTGGATTCTTATCAACATTGTGACTCATGTAGTAACTGATTGCTCCTATAATTTTAT